CACCGCCACCGCCACCGCCGCCGCCGCCGCCACCGGCACGACGACGACGGCGACGACGACGACGACGACGACGACGGCGACGGCGACGACGACGACTGCTACTACTACTACTGTGCGACGATGTAAAAAACCGGGAATGATCTAACAACAGGCTTGAGACTATTTTGCGAATGAGTTACCAGCTATCCTCTCTAGCACGGAAGACAATCGGAAGCATAAACATCAAATGAAAGTCCCCAATTTTATTAACTGAAGGAAGAAGAGCCTTTTGTCACAGCTATTCTTGTGTATTAGGAATTATGTAACTAACAATTTGCGAAGAAAAAAAAAACATACGTTAAGTGCATTGGAAATAATCTCTTGGATTACACTATTTAAGGTGGCTCAAAACAGTTACTAGCTCTTAGATTGACGTGACAATCATGGTATCAAAAAGACTGCCCAATCATTACCGTTACTTAATATTTTTGGAAATTTAAGGTGGCTCTGAACCCTATGTACAGATTTTTTAAAAAAACTTTGCCAAAAGTTGCGTCTTATCATGCTTATTAAAATTTGATATTAAAAAATTTCACCGCGCAGTTTTTGAATTATACGCCCCCAAAAGCAGTAATTAAAGGTGTTTTTAGCAGGTCATACTGTTGCTGCGGTAACTATTGCATCACGAAAATGATAACGTGTCCACAAATGATTGGGCAGTTTTTTTGATACAATGATTGTAGCATCAAGTGATAAAGAGTAGCTATAATGACCTATCCAAACCTAACTGCTGGAAACTGTTTTGAGCCACTTTAATATATAAACAAAATAATAAAAATGCGTTGAACGGAAAGTGCTTAGGGTGTGACTCTCCTAAAGTCGACACTGAACACTTTTATACTACAATAAAAAAGTGTATATTTTACATAAAACTTGTTTAAGCTGTGACCCTTCTGAAAGTCGACAACTAAGACATGTAGAACACAAAATTAATAATAGGTTGTATTAATAACTACTTGTTAACCGAGAGTGAGGTCTTAACGGGAAAATCTCAAACCGAGACCCTGCCATATTGACCGAGCGTTAGCGAGGTCAATAAGGCAAGGCCGAGGTTTTAGATTTCTTTGTAAAGACCGAACATTCGAGGTTAGCACGTTGCTTATTATACGGCTTTTGCTTTGTTTTATGCAGGCCGGTAATCGGCCCGTGGACATTACGGGAGAGTAATGCCCTCGAATTAGCCAATCAGAGCGCGCGTTATATCGGCCACAAACATAAGCCATATAACAAATATGTTTAATCAGTTACCGTAGCCTCTTGGCGTGTGGGAAGCAAAGATGAACCACTTCGGGACAGGATGTGATAAACGATGCCTGGAAGGTGGGGTAGGGGGGTAGGGGGATTCTAATCTTGAATTTTTCAACTTGAATAAGGAGAGACTGGACCCCAACCTTAGATCCACCGCTGTTAACTAAACAACAAAAGCTCTGTGGTTTTCAGTACGGTAGAAGTATCCAATACAATTGATATGTATTGTTTTCAGGAACAAGTTCCACACAAAAACAAATAAAGAAACGACACCGGCAATGTTGCATGGGATTAGAAAAAGATCAAGAGCTGAAAGGTGTTAAAATACTCGTAAGAGAAAGCAAGCGGCAATTATAAGGAATTTGTGTTAGCAGCGCAATATTTTTCGGCCAAATCTCTCCGACTTACTTCACATAAAGCTTTAAATAATACATCGTAAGTTGCAGTCGAGGCATGTTTTCGCTTCCAGTACAACAACATTTGATAAGCCTTTTCTTCCAGTTCCTCGTTCTCCGTATGGAATTTGGTAAGCAAGTGTTCATCAATTTCAAGCTGACGACCAAGCGATTTCCAGTGTGAACCAAGTTCCTGTGACAAGTTAAATGCCTCCTTACGAGTCAGTGTGTGATCTCTAACTGCAACTACAAAGTTAAGAGAATAACGCGAGTCAATCAAAGGAAGGTGTGTTAAAGATGCCCTCATTGCAGAATGAACTGAACGGAAGGTCAAATCCGACGAATTCTGTGGCGCAAAAGTATGAAAATTTTAAAGTTGTGGTAGCTGTTACAGTCAAACAAATTGTTCTTTTGATGGAAACGCGCGCGAGCAAGTTGCTTAGTTTATTTCATACTTCGTGGTTACGACTTATTGCGATTTCCAAAATGTTTCAAGTGCTACTGCAGGTTTGCCAGTTTCTACGACTTATTGTGATTTCCAAAATGTTTCAAGTGCTGCTGCAGTATTTTGAGGATATAGATTTGCCAGTTTCTATGTTGAGAAGCCACACAGCAACTAGAAAGCGCTTCTCGATCGCGTGAAAAAAAGCTACACCAGTTCTTCAAGGCGTAAACGACGAACAAATAGTGGTATCAGACAAAGATATCGCCTCATGTAAGGGAATCCGGAATCTGGAATCCAACATATTCTTGCGTTTGAAATTCGGAATCCAGGGTTTTGGAATCCGC